AGGATGCTCGCCAATAGTATAAAAGTATTTAAGCTATAACGATAATCGTAAAATTGTGAACTCGGATTCTGAATATTGTGAGTATAGAAAAGACTACGACTCGGTCGATCAGCAATACAAAAACTCGCGTAACCAAGGGTAAGTAACCTTTCGAAAGAGGTGCGTTAGATTAAACGAACAACGAATTATAACTTAGGGTTTAGGGATTTTATTAGCGAAGCAGTGTTAATGTAATATTATGGGCAATTTATTTAATAAAATTGGGACTTTATTAGTTTATGAAGCAACAAGACTTAATTCTCTCAAGGGCCATTTCAGCCTTTATTTATAATATTATTTCTTTAACGACACATATTACATTTATTTATTATATCCCTACATCCCATATATTTTGCATATGTCGCATTCGTTATATGTGTCGCCTGCATCGCATGCGACACAAGTAACGGAAGCGACAGATATGACTTGTCCACCACTTGTGTTCCGGAAGGAACGTGACTATTTAATCACGATCTTCCTTCCTTAATCCCTCCTTCACAATATATATTTGTTTTTTGTTTTGTATCAGATATGATTACCGCAATTAAAGCATTAATAAAATAAATAAATTAAAGTTAAAAGTTCCAAAATGTAACAATTTTATTTAGTTGTACAGTGCATATATCACTCATTTAACTAACATTAAAAATTTCTTTGTGTAATCGAGTAGATTTTCTTAATATTTTTTATACGACATGGTAAAATTTATTTATTCTCCTAGTAACTTGCGATAAATATTATGATACCTTGCATTCGAATATTTCAAAATCATCAACATCAAAGGAACCTTCCCTAGGTCTTATTAACTCACTGTAATTTTTCTTTTCACAATACCATTTGTAATCACACACCATATCATTTCTCAACGATAAGTCGTATTTCCCAAAGGCAAGTCCATACTCATCGTTATAATAAATTGCTTTCTTTGAATTATTTACTTTACTAAAAATCATCTTTGAGCCTT